CTTTGTCGCATTTTTACTTTCCACATTTGTATTAAATATTGAAAACCTATTAGTAATGTGCCAAAACACCTACTTGAAAAGGAGAAGTAAAAATGTACACAAACTTTATGTACTGCATTCACACGAAAGTGTAAGAACATTTTTCCAGCCGCTTTTCGTGTACTGTAGCTAGTATTTATGTAGTTTACATCTTGTTACGACTAGGCTATATTTGGATATTAATTTAAATCACTGTGAAATTTAGAGTGTAGATAATGCAAAACATATCTGCATCATCATTTGTGGTACCTACTTGTCTTTAATTCATAGCAGTTAGATTTCAGACCTCTCACTCCACAGTTAACCTTACTATGTTTACGCAGATATATTAACAACGTCTCCACCTTCTTGTAAAAATATTTACATAAGTTAAACGATGAAGGTGCAGTGTTTGTTATATGTGTGTGCGGTTTTCATGGCAATCATTAACATTTCATTGATTAGTTGCTAAATAGTTATATCGAAAAATGTTTGTTGCGCTACAGAGTTTGCTTAGGTGTAAACTAGATACATATGACACTTATTTATGAGTAATGCATTGATAGATTAAATAAGAGGGAGAATCTTTTTTTGCAATAAAACTATCACAATGGATTACCTTACTTCAAGGTCATTATATAGTATTTTCTATTGTAACATCAACATTCCTAAATGCATACAGTTTGTAGGTAGTTGATTAATTAATTGATGTTATCAGAAATTCAGTATTTCAAAGTACGAAAAAGTTTGTCCATATATTCATATGTTAACGTTTTCATGAATAAATATGCTACTTACGCAAAAATAATCTACTAATCACACCATACCTTCCCAATTTGCGACTTTTTAGTTTTAGTGTTATATCACAGACTGCAGTACACTAAGGGTAAGGTTTGGTTTTTAGCGCATTTTCCAACTAAGTTGGGTGTGCTATTGCAGCCACTTTCTCTATTTTTCCATCCATTTGAGCCCTTGTAACTACTTCTGCAATTCTCAATATATTTAGTTTTGGGGCGGTATTTTTGAATAGCTCTGGCACCTGAGGCGAGAAAAATCTTCATAATTTATTGAAATATTTTTTTGAAATTTTAATCACATACTTCTAGTAAACGCAAACATGTATTGTAAACATGCCCATGCGCAGACTGCACAGTACTAACATATTTATAGATATTTTAACCATAGATGCTTCTAGTGACGACAAACATACCAAGCGCATTTTCCGTGCTCCCGGCGGTTTTAAAGCAAGGCGCGGAAATAGGGTATTTGTATGTTTTTAGCGCATTTTCCTCAAAGTGAAAAATTATTATTGGCGGCACTTTGTCGTCCGTCACACGTACTATTTCTAGATGACTGTTAAATGAAATTTGATACATAGGTCTTTGGAATAAAAGCAATTCTAACCCCAGTTTTAAAATTTGATTTTGCGCATGCGCATTGCCGACTTTCTTATTTACGAAACCATTTAAATGAAATTTGACACACAGGTACTTTGAATAAAAGCAATAGAACCAGTTTCAAAATGTGGTTCTGGGCATGCGCAATGCCTACTTTCTTATTTGCGAAAGCATTTAAATGAAATTTGATACTTGCGCGAAACTAAATTCTACAATATTCATTTAAAATAGAACGATGCGTATTTTCCGGACCACGCATTAGCATATTATTAGGAGAAAAATACGAAGGACACGTAGATAGAACAATAGAAGTCACTTGTTATTATTATTATCTCTCTCTTGTTCTGGGCCCCCAACAGGCTTGCGCCCAATTACAGAGCGAACCGCATAATGCTATTTAGAGGTGCCTCTGCAGAAGGTCTTAAGTTGTTTTATACTACTCCATTATTTACCTTATGAACTAGGAAGACTGCAGGAAAACCTAATTCGGAGTAGCCGGCAGAATGCTCGAAACTGGTCTAAGGCAATTTCCATCTCTGCCACAGCTGAAAAATTCACTTCAATCCAGGTTCGAACACCCGACCTACGGATTTATAATCCAACACTACCACTGAACCATAAAGCTGACCAAACAAACAATCCTCAAAAATTTGGTACTAATATTCAAACGAACAAAGTTCTCGCCAAAAACGCCTCGCAAGGTTTAAAATAGTCAGTATTTTTATTATATATTATATATATTATATTTATTAGTATTTTTTTTACCTCGTTGAGTTCCACTAACAAGATAAAAGAAAGGAATGGTTTGGCTGCATTTTGGGAACGTGCGACGTACTTGGGGTAACTCGCGCACAATCGGTGAGCTTTTGAAATTAAATAAATTTAGCGAAATAATAACAATTATTTATTGCGGTTTAATATTTAAAAGAATACAAGTTATAAAAAGTTAAAAAGTAATCGTAAACGATTTACATAAAGCGCATTTCCACTTGCATTCATTTCCCATTTGTAAGATGCAACTTTTGTTGTCCGGCCACAAATATGAAAGATAGCGTTGCACATGGGCAATCCATTGTTGACGTGCTACTTCAATTTCAGTTTATGAGAAGAATTTAATTTCAATGCTTTTCTAAATAAGTTGGAATTGCGCATGCGCAAACCTAAATTTTAAAACTAATGTTAGATTTTCCTTTGTTCCAAGCGCCTAAGTATCAAATTTCACTTAAATGGTTTCATAGATAAAAAAGTTGGCACTGCGCATGCGCAAAATAAAATTTTGAAACTGGTGCTAGATGTTCCTTTATTCCAAGTGCCTATGTATCACATTTCGTTTAAATTCTTCCATAAATACAAAAGTTGCCACTGCGCATGCGCAAAGCCAAATTTTGAAACTGGCGTTTGATTTTCCTTTATCCCAAGTGCCTATGTACCAAATTTCGTTTGAATTCTTCCATAAGTAAAAAAGTTGGCACTGCGCATGCGCAAAACCAAATCTTGAAATTGTCGTTTGATTTTCCTTTATTCGAAGTGCCTATGTATCAAATTTCGTTTAAATTCTTCCATAAATAAAAAAGTTGGCACTGCGCATGCGCAAAACCAAATTTTGAAATTGGCGTTTGATTTCCCTTTATCCCAAGTGCCTATGTATCAAATTTCGTTTAAATTCTTCCATAAATAAAAAAGTTGGCACTGCGCATGCGCAAAACCAAATTTTGAAATTTGCGTTTGATTTTCCTTTATTCCAAGTGCCTATGTATCAAATTTCATTCAAATACTTTTATAAATAAAAAAGTTTGCAATTCGGTTTATAAATGGTCGAGATGCGAAAAGGGCACTGTGAATTTTGAATCGATTCGATTCAACTTTTGGCATTGAGTATTATATGGCTAAAGCTATGCCCATATTGAATTTCATGCAATTCAGTTCATAACTAACGGAGATGTAAAAGCGATGGAACATTTCTAAACAAAGTTATCGTTCACACGGACAGATAGATGAACAGACAGACAAAGGAACAGACGGACAGACCAACAGGCAGACGACAGATAGCAATGCAAAATTATAAACGATCTCTAGGATCGTTAATAAACGGCAAAAGTGTAAAATTATGGAACATGTAAAAAAACGGTTTTTTGTTTTTTTTACAATAACTTTTTTTGTAAGCGGTACAAAAAAAATTCCTTCCTTGGTACAAGACTCGACACCATAACGAACCAAATAGCGAAAAAAGTAGAACAATAGCTCTTAAGATAAAGAACTAGTAGCGTCGCAAAACGAGCGGACGGACGGACAAAGAGGCCACAATAGCGCATTTTTTTTTCATTTTTGTGGAAATGCGCTAATAATGAAATCTTGGGAGCGGATGAACGTAACGACAGTCGGCGGACCGAACTCATCGGAGGGGTTCAAAAGATGGGTCGCAAATTCCAATAAATACAGTGCGGTAATTTAATTGCAAAGCAAAATGAAACGGTACGGAAACAACGAAATGTAATGGACGAAAGTGCAAACAGGCAAAAGATTGAAACAAGGTTAAAACACCAAAGGCAAAAAAGTTTACGTTTCGGTTAACCACTAAAATGCAGAAGATCGATGATTTAAATCAAGCTCAAAAATTTCGGTACTTACAAAATGTAGCTTGCGAATCAGCAAAAGTGAAAAGATCTCCCCTAAACAAGGGCTTTACGTTATAAAATTCGACTCTCGCAGGGAGGGAACGTAGGAAATTCCAAATCGGTCGGCGTATCGTTGCGATCAATTAAACCTTAATTAATTCTGTCTTTCCTCGACATCGGAAAAATACGGGACCGATGTCAAACTTTACGTTTTTTAAGAGCGTTCTTTTCAGTTAAGGCCCAGTTCAATCGTATCATTCAATTCAATCTGTAACATTTAAATGGTAATCCTTAACTTAATTATACTTATCCAATTAGTCGAAACGAAATCTCCAAATACAGCAGTCCAGCAATGTCCTTTTGTTCCTTGAAATGTGAGGTCAAGCGGTGCAGTCGGTTTTCACGTTGATATAACTGCACTACCCTGCCAGTTTCAATCCTACAAAATGCAAACACAAATCTCACTCTTCGTCTCTTAGAGCAACTAAGTAAATTGAGAAACTGCTTAGTAACAAAGCGCCCAAATTAAAAACGCTTCTAGATACTGGGTGTTCAGAAAAACTGGTCGACTCTACAAATATACGGTATGGTCATAACTTCGGGTATGAAACTTCAGGGCTGAAAACAAGTGCCTCGTTAGAAACAAGGGAGAGTGTTAGCAAATAGACTAATAGCCGATATTATAAAGCCATATTTAACTTTGTTGTCGGCTAACGGTGTTGTTAAGGTATGTGAGAGGATGTTTTTGCAAAAAACACATCAGCTGACAACATAGTTAAAAGTACGGCTGTATAATACCGGCAATAAGTGTTTCTCTGCTAAGGGAGGTGTTGCTTATTTGAACTCTGGCAATCGACTCATGTCATAGGTGGGCGCCGATTAAGCTCAAATTATTTAGATGGCGCTGCGAGCGATTGGAGCTAAACCACAGATACACATGAGCAACAAAAATATTTCACTTCTGTTTACCCGTTACTATGATCCTAACCTCTATTTTTTATTTTATTTTGTTACACCTCACACCTCTGATTTCTGTAGAAATACTTGTACTTGGTTTTTTACCTGACACTTGAGGAATAAAAAGGCATGTTATCATTTTATAGTTTCCGACCTGTTTTTCAAATATGACCGGAAAACGCAAAATACTATTTCTTCTACTGCTTCTAGTTGTGATTATATTCTTAGTGAAAATTTATCAGTATTGGATACTGGTCAAGAAATCGAATCAGGTGTCTCTAGACAGCATCAAAAAAGACTTGCTCGATGGTAAAATAAAAGTCTCGATATATTACGAAGCACTTTGTTCGGATTCACGTAATTTTTTTATCAACCAGTTAGAGCCAATGTATAATGACTTCCATAGTTATTTAGACCTAGACTTTGTTCCATATGGAAAAGCTAAGGTAAGTGGCACTTATCCAAAAACTGCACTTAGTGTTCCTTGTTTTAGACCATTGAGAAGAACGGTGTCATCACTTTTAAATGTCAGCATGCCGCTGTCGAGTGTGTAGCGAATAAAGTTCACGCTTGCAGTATTTTGCATGTAAAAGATCAAGGGCTACAGCTTAAATATCTGAGTTGTATGATTAAGGATAATATGCTTCCGCACGAAATTGGGGAAAAGGTAAAGCAGTATCGACAGATTTTTGTTTGTGTGTAACTGACGTGTTTGTAGTGCGCCAAACAGTTGGGAATTGCATACGATCCAATATCGGAATGTGCACATAGTGATCAGTCATCTCTACTTCTGAAGGAGTACGGCATTCGGACGGACGCAGTAAAACCAGCGATTACCTTCATACCGACCATCGAGTTGGACGATCAACAAAGTGTGCCTCTTGTTCACATATTAAAAAACTTTAAGAAAGTTATATGCGAGAAGTTAGATATGAAAGTGAAAGCGTGTTTATAACAGTTTGTTTATGTCTATTTTATATATCACCATTGACTGTGATTTTGTTTAAGTTTTAACTTTTAGCTTATGTTATTTATGTAAAACATTTATACGATTTTTATTGTAATCAAATTTTCCAAGTCTTCCAACGGTAGGTGTTCTTACCAATCTGCAGCTATTCTATCATTGCATTCTTAATAAATAAATTTGAACAATGAATTTTTGTTAAACTCATCGCAAGTTACCTTTCTTGGGGACGGCCTTCAGCTAAATGCACTTTCTGAGATTGCTCCCTTCTGATTTGCAGAAACATTTTCCATGTTCAAATAAATTGGTCTCGATCACTTTGATCAAGATTAGGTGTGTTGGAAAAATGAAATGGAAGCATAATGAGAGGGGGTAAGGCGAAGAAGACCACTTAATTCTTGAAGGGAAGCGCATTTAAAATTCCAAAAAAACGACCAGGTTTTTCAAATTTTATTGAGCCCTGCGTTTGTGCAGATATAGGCTCGTGAAAATACCAAAGAAACCAGTTGCCTATAAAAATATATTCACATACAGTATGTTTTTGAGGAAAAGGTCCTTCTTTGCTCCTTTTTTGAGCCTTATTCACGCCTCTTATGCAGCTCCTATTCTTTATCCCTGACTTTCTCATGCGTCTTCTTTATCCCCTTCTGCGCGTCTATCCTTCAATAATTATACACTGCATTATTTTCTTGTTCACGCTTCCTTACCGTCTCCTACATGTCTCATTAAATTTTTTCCTCTTTTTCGAGGCTTATTTTACCACCTGCACGTTAGAATAAGGGAGGTATCGCAGCGGGGTAAAAAATGACCCCACCCTCTCCATTTTTTAACGGAAATGCACGTTTTGAAGTACCCAGGCAGGATCCGAATCAAACAAAATCTTGAGGAATGTCGGTCTCATTTCCGGCTAAACGGCTGAACCAAACCAATTGGAACAACATTTGGTAAAGGAAGAGCTGAAAAGCTGTGGAGCAGGATCGCGCATGCGCAGGTGTGCAGATGGTACCACAGCAAATTTTTTGTTTATTTATTTTATTTATCTTTTACATTTCCTTATCTCTATATCGCTCCTTCACATCGATCTTTGCTATTCCTTTTTCAAGCATACATTACATTATTCCATCAAGCCAGTATCGCGATTGCGTTGTGTCTTTTTCATAACCAACCCCTGGCCCTATTATATGGTTCACACATTTCCACCACGCTTCCATTACGTCTCATTTACGCTTTCCTCACATGATTCTCACGTTCTTTGCATTTCTTTCGTGCTTCTTTTCAAATATTCATCGCGTCGAGTTTTAACTCCACTTCGCCACACAGGACGGCCTACCTATACTGCATCGCGGTGATCAAATGGCATTCATTATTAACTCGATTATGATAAGTCAAAAAAAGTCTATTTCTACTAACATTATAATGGAGGGGGTTCCAACACGTTCGCCAAATAGACTTTTCAATTTTTTTTCAATTTCTGAAAGATGATCGCAGTTACGGAATGGCGTTTATGACACTTTCAATAAACGCGGTTTTGAATTTTTGATAAGAAACGGACGTAATTAATAAATGTTGTGCACCTCGAGCCATCAATTGTAAAATGGCGATGAACTTCTATTCGATTATAAATAAGCTATAAAATGTGATTGTCCGTAATATAAGCAAGTTTAGAATCGTGCACTATCACACGACCGGGGGCTTTTACTGGATGTATTTTTTCTTATACACCCTATACGTTTGGTGACTTGGCAACCCTGGTCGCCGCCTAAATAGAAAACCTAACCAAACTTTTAAGTTATATTATTTGTGTCACTTGTAAGAGTAGAGTATTGCTTCATTGTGTTTAGGAAGCAATACGTTACTAAAAGAAATTTTCTTGCCTTCCAAATACGAAGGCCATTGTTCGATAGCGTTATGTAGTCCATAAGACTCGTTCGTAACTTTCGGACCGAAATACATATATAAAGCCTCAACAATGACTTCACAGTACACAAGAGACCAACTGAAGCTGTGTGTTGCTAAAATGTGCATCACTATAGGATGGCATTCCAGCATGACGACCCCTATCGAAATCCTCACCGACATTTTATCAAATTACTTACATCAGTTGGGCCGCTCGACAAACGAATATGCCAACGGCTGTACGTAAGGTAACTGTAAAGATCTACGTATATATTCGTATTTAATGTTGCAGTTGGCATGACAGACCCGAATTTGGATCACTTGGGATTGACCTTTCGTGATTTTCACATCAATTTGTCAGAATTACAGGAGTATGTTAAAAATGTGGACTGTGCCGAATCGGGTACAGCCATTCCGAAATATCCGATACCTAAGGAAGATCATTTAAATTTTTTAAAGCCGGGAAGCAAAGAGGTTGTTACACGACAAGTGCACATTCATGAACATTTACCTCCGATGCATCCATTGTTAGAAGGTAGGAGGTTTGAGTCGCAAATTGAGCGATTCATGTTTGGTTTGTAGCTGCTCAAATGCCGACTGAATCAAATAGTAATAATGACACTACAGAGGAAATTGATGTTGTCGAAAATACAAGTCCTGTGTTTAAACGGCCACAGGAAATTTCTCAAGGAGATTCTTTTAAAAGACCAAGGTAATATATTGAATTGCACTGTCTCATTACATTTCTAAACCAGGGGGAGCCACTTATTCAGTCAGTGTGCAAAATGAGTAAGTTGTATTAAAGTCCCTTAGTTAATTTTTTGTACAGCTTTCAATTCCCTATAAAGAGCTGACTGAGCTTCATTATTTTTAGACTGCTTCTTGAAGACGAAGGACGTCCGACAAGAGAAATAAGCAGTGTAATGATGACTACATCCGGGTTTCTATCACCAGCACGTGAAGGAAAACTACCCGAAGCACGTACTCCAATGCCCGCATTGGAACCCATTATTTTACCACCAGCCTTGCCTGCTGAACAGCCTGAGGTGCCTGTAACTAAGAAGTTGCCTAAGACAACGAAAAAAATTGAAAAGAAAAAGGAAAGGATAGGGAAGGAGTTATTCAAACCGCTCGACGATCCAGGCCAAAAAGTACCGAAAAAATTAGGAACCCCATCCAAGGATAATTCAAAAAGCAAAACAAAGTATCAGGTCCCTCCACAGATGAGTTCCGCACCCAACTTTCCAATAATGGGCGACTTGAACATCTCACTAATACCCAATAAGATGGCAATGAATCCACCACAGAAAATAAACAAAGCATTAGCCGCAGCAAGATTGAAAACAGAAAAATTGAACACTACCATAACACCGATACCGACAAAACCTGTTATCGCACCCCCTATACCTATAATTAAACCAGAACCGAATGTCGATAAATTATTTACCGAACCAGATAAAAGGAAAATTAACATCCTGAAGAAGATATCGGTCAAAAACGAAAAAATGGCCAAAGTTAAAGACGACATTAAGCAAGAATCAAGAGAGAGTTCACCTGATTTAGTCATTGACGAATCTATAAACGAAGCTACTAATAAGGTTCATCATCTATCGAGTGACATTACAATTGAACTCATAGATTCAATTCCATTGGTGAAAGATAAGACTGAACGTCTATATTTTTACGACGACTCACCACCAGGTACGCCCTCGACGCCCAAAACACCCGAAATGATTTCCCAAAGTCCACCTCTAAATAAGGTGGAGAAACGCAAACGCAAGGACAAGTCGAAGATTAAAAAAGTAAGATAATCGCATTGTAGCTTGTTACTATTTGTATTTTTAGATCCAAAAAATTAGTAGCCCGGCACGGTTAGACACAGATATAATCGACATGGAAATGGAACGGCCGAAAACTCCAGAAGCTCATGTAGTTATTAAACCGGAAAAACCAGAAATATCTGCCTCGACTTTACCATTTCCATTTTTTCCATCGTTTGCCGGTTTGTAAAATCCAGCTCAATGACAAAATGTGACGATTGTTCTTACAGGTCCCGGTTTAATTCCACCACCTCTGGGAAATCCGTTGTTTTCTCATCTTTCCATTCCGCCATTGGGAATTCCCAGTTTCGGTCATCCTCCGTACATTCCGCCCGTTCATCCGAACTTACCAATGAACTTTATGCAATCTATCAAACACGAGGAACCACCCCAGAAGTCCCCTTCAGCTGACAAACCCGCTCCCGCTCCGGCCATGTCTGCTACAGTCACGGATGATCCACCGACTCCGAAGGGGGACAAGAAGAATAAAGAGCACAAGAAAGAGAAGAAGGATAAGCTTAAAAAGAAGAATAAGAAAGATAAAGTTAAAAATAAGGCCGAAAAGAAGAAGCTAAAGGAAGACAAAAAGGATAAGATCAAAAAGGAGAAACGTGAGAAAAGGAAGGAAAAAGATACAGTAAGCTTTGTAAGTTGTTCGTTTCAATTTTGACGATCAATTTCAGCTGCGTGATAACGACAGCATCGTCCCGAAGTTGACTTTAAAACTGGGATCTCCGCATCCTGATTCTCCTGAAACACGGAAATTGTAAGTATAGTTGCGCGCGTTTCTTTATGTAATACTATAGAGGTGGGTCCAATTTTATGCAGCGGGAAGATGCAAGATTGCGCACTCCACAAGTAAGAAAGTTGATTTTGCGCATGCGCGCACACGTTCTATTTGCCTTTACAAATTTAGGAAAAGGCTTCACAAATGACACAAGTTGAATCTATGCATGCGACCTATTTACGGACCGTACTGCAAAAGTTCCTAATGAGGATATTTGACTGTCATGCGCGTTAGAAACGTTAAAATGTCTGTAAAATCCTTCCACTAATAAGGAAATAGGTTTTGCGCATGCCTGATATTTTGTGTGTTTTTAATAAATTCTTTTGTTCAGTCCATCCGGGAAGACATTGTGTTCCATGTGCTTAACTCTGCGCATGACTTTCTACTTTCTTTTATTAGAAGCGCATGGTGTATCACACAAATAACAAAGTTGATTCTACGCATGCGCTCCATCTCCTTTGTTGGATGTTATTCATTGGTTGGATGCATCCTACCTGCTTGTACAGGGTGAGTCAACGATTGCGCGGAGTAACTTAATGCCCTGAAGATAAGATTTTTCGATAGAGTGCTTTTGTATTATGATATGATAGAATATTCTCCACATTTTAAAAATATTTGGAATTATACAGGGTGCGCCCACAAAGTAGGGCGTCAAAATGGTACATTTTTTAAATAGAACCCCTTGTATTTGAATGCATTTTTGAATTCTACGTGTAATTTGTAGGTCTTTTTTATTATATGGTTAATATCCGAAAAGCTAGTAGTTTTAAAGATAATGCGATTTGTAAGAAAAATTGAGCATTTGCAAGCGTCAGTATATTGTCAAAATTATTACATAAATTTTGATTCCAGGTTTTATATTTTTTATCCTGGGTTAAGTAAAAGTCAAATAAATACATCTACCATGAAACATTAAAAATATAGCTTACAGGGTGTTTTTTTTCTATAGTTACAAAACTTCATATTAAAAAATTTCACTTTTTTCAAATGGAAATGGAACACCCTGTATATTTTTCTGTCATCTTTTAGCTTTTCCAAAAACCTTCAACTTTTGATAATAATGTAATTTACATAATAACGAGGTGGCCATGCAAAAAAAAGACAATTTTTATCTGCTTCGTCCAAAGCTAAAATCATATTTATTAATTCATTTTTCGAATAATTCATTTAAGTCTAAAAACTGGAGAATAAATGTAATAGTAACAACATAAACAAATATCTTGGTTTTCCTAGTTTTTATATTAATCTGAAATAAGTTCTAATTTACATAATAACGAGGTGAATATGAAAAAAAATGAAACTTATATCACTGACTGGATGACATTTTACTTATTCTCCAGTTTTTGAACTTGTTTGAAAAATAAATCAACCGATATGATTTTCGTTTTGGACGAGATAGATAAAAATTGCCTTTTTTTTGCATGGCCACCTCACTATTATGTAAATTAAATATAACTTATCTAAGATTAGAATATAAAAACCAGGATATTTCGAAAACTATCAGAGATAGGTGTAGGACATTATTATCAAAAGTTGAAGGTGTTTGGAGGAGCTAAAAGATGAAAAATATACAGGGTGTTCCATTAAAAAAGGGAGATTGTTTAATATGAAGTTTTGCAACTTTGGACCTACCAAAAAAACACCCTGTAAGCTATTTTTTTAATGTTTCATAGTAGATGTATTTATTTGACTTTTACTTAACCCAAGATAAATTTTAATAATTTTGACAATATACTGCAAATGCTAGTTTTTTGGATATTAACCATATAATAAAAAAGGACGACAATTACACATAGAATTCAAAAATGCATTCAAATACAGGGGGTTCTATTTACAAAACTGTACCAGTTTGGCGCCCTACTTTCTGGGCGCACCCTGTATAATTCCAAATATTTTTAAAATGTGCAGAATATTCAACCATATCATAATACAAAAGCATCGAAAAATCTTATCTTCAAGGCATTAAGTTACTTCGCGCAATCGTTCACTCACCCTTTACAAAAAATAATTTGGATTTTTGATCCTAGGGTTAAGGCATTTGATTGGCTGCATAGTCGGTGTGTTTTTAAAGGTATTACCCGACGATTTTCCGCCGAAGGGTAAAAATCGATATATTACAGGTCTTGCCTAGTCTTGACCATAGTGAGATTTCACCCCCCGTTTGTGTGTTTAAGGTTTCCAAATCATCCTTTCTTCCCCCCCCCCCTCTCTTTCCGCGTCCCGTCAATGCGCACTTTAACCGAGCGCGCGGTTTGGTCAAGCCTAGGTTGCAACTGAAATACATCATTTTGACCCTTTGGGACAAAAACGTTGGCTATTTCGTGTCTGTGCCATCGGCTTGACCATAGAGAGACGTGAATGGTTTCTAACGACTACGGAGTACTTTGAAGTAAGGTAGGTTTAATGAGAACTAGTTCAACGAAAAGAAAAATTCACTTGTGTGTTGAATCAAAAGAATTTAAATTGGCATGGAAGAGACCTCCATCAGTTTACACAGATGAATGGTAGGAGCCTAATGAATATCTTTGTAGTAACATTTTCCTATCCACGCCACGCCCATTTGCAGGATTAAATAGAGAGGAAGCTCATTTTCAAACCTAGAGGACGCTATGGCCAACCGCGTAGCCAGATGAATATCCTTATAATAAAATTTTTCTCTCCAAGCCATGCCCATTTTCAGGATTAAATAGAAAGGAAGCTCATTTTCAAACCTAGAGGACGCTATGGCCAACCGCGTAGCCCGAATGAATATCCTTGTAATAAAATTTTTCTCTCCAAGCCACGCCCATTTTCAGGATTAAGTAGAAAGGAAGCTCATTTTCAAACCTAGAGGACGCTATGGCCAACCGCGTAGCCCGAATGAATATCCTTGTAATAAAATTTTTCTCTCCAAGCCATGCCCATTTTCAGGATTAAATAGAAAGGAAGCTCACTTTCAAATCTAGAGGACGCTATCTCCAACCGCGTACTTCCTTGCAGAAACGAAATATCTGCTGCTGAAAGGGCCGTTTTATCCAACCTGTGATAATGGCCCTTGAAGCAGGTCCCGCTTTTCCACTACAACTAATAAAAAGACGATTGAGGTGTGCGTGAACTTTCCTTCTTGTCGTCGAGAGTTTAATTAAGAGCTGAGGCCAGTGTAAAGGGTCTAAGGCCGCTCCCTTACACTCCAGACTGACTGTCGCACGGAGTTTCTGGCCAAAACGAGAAGAGATGAGTTTCCATCATGTGCGCACGGTCAGTGCTCTGGCAAATGAGCTCGAGCTAAGATCCTGGCTTGATCGGACGAATCGGTTGGTGGTAATAAAGACAACTCTTAAAAGCGGTACCAAATCCATCCTCAATGTCATCTGAAGAGGAAACTAGAGTCGCTAAAAGTCAGGCGGCAATTGTATGTGCTATACGGCTGCCGAAGCGTGCGGCTGCCAAGACGTACGACTGAAACGGGGTGAAAAGGGGGGTGGGGGTGAAATCTTACTATGATTTTAATCCGCCGCCACAGACACGAAATAACCATGTCAGGGTCAGACCGACCCTATGCGCACTCGTTTGATTTTTGATGCAGGGCAAAGGCTTAAAATTTCAGGAAACTCTTTTGGAAATGACAACCCTAATTCTGTCCATTCAGCTTTAATTGAATTCGTTCGTAATAAAGTTATTTCTGCGCATGCGCATGTTCAATTGTTGTATATGTTTTGTTTGCAGCGCCATCAGTTGAGAAAGTGCTCGTTAAATAGTAAAATTGTTTGCATGTGCTCAGTTACTTTGGTTATATGTGTTCTATTTGCTTTTATTGCAAGAGCCAAGGAGGAACTTGTAAACTAAAATTTTGTGTATAATTCTTTTAAACGCTGCCAATAAGGGAAAATCTTAGATACAATTTCGTACATCCTCTGAAATCCATGGGATATTCTTGGCCATCCTCAGATTTTCATGGATATCCTTGGACATCCACCAGATCCATGATTATGTTGCTGTCAGAGAAAAAGACTGATTGCCCCACATTTAAGTTTAAACAGAAGTCTGTTATCTCAAAACAGTTCGCCGCTAGGGGGCATTTAGTGGTTTGCTTAAGCTGTGTCTCTGGGCTCACATGTGGACAGTTCCCCATACGAGGCACAGCGCACAGCCTCGTTCACACTTGTGTACTCGTCTTTAAAGATAACTGATTTGAAAGTGGCGGGGGGGAATATAGGAGACCTATTCCATACCTTTCATCTTGTTGCTAATCGATATTAATAATATTTACTTTTAGAAATATAAAACCGATCGTTAAGAAAGAAGAGGAACCAGTTGAAATCAAAGAAGTTAAAAGGGAGATGTCACCCGAACTGGCAAAAATATCGGCTTTGGTTACCGGCCAGCCGAAACCCAAGACGACAACGAATCATGTGCCGCCACCTACAAGTAAGAGTTCTAACTTTGTAGTCAATTGTTACATTATCGATTGCTTAGTTGCTAAGAAACCGCGAAGTCTCTGTAATTTTATTGACGATTGGCGACATTTTTTTTTTAAATTTGAAGGTATTGTTGAAAGACTTGAACATCTAACTTCTGCTATACAACAATCTTTGGAATAATTATTAAGTTTACATGAAGTGTCCAAAAAGAATATCTTGCATGAGAGCAATCTTTTTTCTGAGATTTTTTAGTTTTATAGTTTTCATCACGTACACTCTGCCTTTAGATTCTCATTACGGTTTGGTGGTGGCGGCTAAGATTTTGAAACCCCAACATTTTCACTTCTTCGATTAAAACCATTCGCTTAGCTTCTTCCCAATACAATTTTGAATTCCTACATCGAATGTAGTTCTCGAAAGTCATGTTTGGCGGTGTTTTTGGATGAGCCGAGTGCACAGAGGCACATGTTGTTTGTTTTTCTAGTGCAACGTGCGACACTTGTGGTTGACTATGTTCGCCGTTCCTGGGTAAGTTATTTTTATGGACACTTCTGACAGTTTTAGGACTGAAAGCGCAAAATTTGTTTGGTGACGCTGGTGAGAAGTTAGCAGCCCAAAATACAGCAGCCTGTTATCCTTGAGTGTTAGTTCGAACATGAAAAATTATCAATTGACAAATGCGGGTCTCGTATTTAAGGCTGATAAATTCGTGGGTCTAAGAAGAAATCATGTAAACTTAATAAGACATTCCCGCAGAAGTTTTGCATGCCATTTTGTTTACAAATGAATGCTCTCTCGTACCTAAATCGATCTGAATGCTTAAAGCACAAATAATTTTTTAACGCAGTTCTATTATGGCAATTTCTAAGTAGGGGTATACTCAGACCAAGGAAAAACAGTTTTGTTATGTTCTGCTAGTTTACCATAAAAAGTCTGCAGAACCACACTGGAAGCACTCCCTTAAATATTCATTGCCTTTTTTTTTAAGTTGTTGGGCCCTGTAGGCCTCCCAATCGGCTATTAGCTTTGCTCTTCTTTGCTTTATTGATCAGTTTGCCCAATTGGGTTTTCGCTTTTCGAGCGCCCTGTACCACCAGTGATAGGGCGTCTTGGCAGTGCTCAAAGGACATGCTTGTTCAAATGGTAAGAAGATCTACTTTGTCCTGTAAGTCAGCAGGACCCGAGAGGCGTCTCCCTCTAAGTTTTTCTCCAAGGAGATGTTTGTAACGGAGAATAAAGGCAGAAGTGGAAACAGAAGGCAAAATATGTTTTTTTTTGCGGAAGCGGAAGTGTAAGTACTATTAAAACTTGATTAGAATAATTAGTCATAAAAATTTAGTTTATTAAACTATGCGATAAAACGCACGAATTGTTGCAGCGAATTAATGAGATGAATGAAAGTAAACAGAGACGTCACGCGACCCGTCCGACCAATTAGAGCGCACAGCGCGCCTTGCCATATTTCAAAAATTACGGTATACATCCGTTATAAAATAGCGGAAGCGAAAGTGAAAAATAAGCAGAATATTGCCGCACTCGCAGAAGCGGAAGCGTCACTAATTGAAACTTCCATTGGAAGAAACTTTTGGTTTTCAAATGCAATGCTTATGTTGTTTTAATATCTTTGATCCGTTTTGAAGATTTACTTTTGCGCGATACGATCTTCCCTTGTAACATAACCAGACACTGTGCATCCTGACAACATACGGTGTGCTAGATTTCATGGGTCCTAAATATTGAATTGCTTCATTTTTTGCATATCAACCATTGTTATACTTTATGTCGTCGTATAGTAAATTGATTGCTCTTTTCAAAGATATTAAAAAACATACGCATTGCATTTGAAAAACAAAAGTTTCAAAATTAAAACTTCTTTAATTAATTATTCAGTCCTCTGTGTTCATTAAATTCTGGGACCAGTCTTAGAATTCCTGGTATTTAAGCGCGCTACCAACAATATCAAACACATCCCATTTTTATGACTTTTGCCGTAACACAATTAATTAACTATGGTTAATTTACTCACTTATTCATGTCCAAATCCTGTTCATTGTACCAAAATACCCCAAATTGGATTCGATGCTTATCAATACAAAACCTGTTTGATGCAAATAATGTTTACGGGACGAATAGTAAACTTGCATTTGTGTCACGTGCTCGGCTTTAAACAGGACGGAACGAAACTTTTAGGTCCCAAGAGATCGTGGCAACCGCGCTCGCTTTCCGCAATACGTTTCTTGTTATCGCCAGACATACTTGCGTTCACGTTCGTTTAGAAGCGGTACATGTGGAGACTTTCCCATGTTGAATAAAACACTTTTTTAAAACGGCGAAGAATTATACAAAGCTAACTTAATTCATTCACGCCTATTTTTTCTGGCAGCAAAAATGTTGAGTATTTGCATTTTGGCAGTGGTTATTTGAAACCTTTCAATAGGCCTTTTTTAAATATAACTGGCTACTATACTATTTTTAGCGCCTTTTTTAAGAATTAAAAAAAATGTGCTATTGTTTGCGTTTTGTTCGTCCGGACCTACTTCTGCCGTTTTGAACTACTTCTAGGGGAATGGTCCTAGAGTCCTGGAATTTTTTTACAGTAGGTAGCTTATACCTTGAAGGTGTGTCAGACGGCCATCAAATTTCTCTGTCTAGGCCCCACGAATTATTTCCTGAGATGCTGTTTTTGAAAGTAAAACGTGCATAACTTTCACACACGACAACCAATTGGTCTCAGATTTTGCATACGCATGCCTTTAGTGGTGCCAAGTTAAACTTTAGAAAATTGGGGGGGGGGGGGGGTAAACACATGTTCTACCCTTCATGGTATTCTAATGAAAGGTCTCATCAAAATAATTGGTTTGTACAAACTATAACTTTCTCGTGCGACTCTATTTCAAGATCAGTGAGCGTCGGGGCCCGAGGGGGGAGGGGGGGGATTAAAAATTAATTTTTCAACGAAAGGAACCGTTTTCTACCAACTACTGCTCTTCTTTCTGTCCTCTTATCAAAGTACAGGGCGAAGGGGGGGGGGGGAACTAGTTTTATCCTTCATGGTGCTCTAATGAAAGGTTTCAACGAAAGGATTTAATTTCTACCAACCATAGCCCTCGTCCTTGAGACGTCTGCAACAAATATATCCATTGGTGATGTCAAAACAAAAGCCATTCGGTTAAAAAAAATGCGTTTTATCTGTGCACAATTTATACTTGTTTTAAGAAGTATGTTCACCTTTCAAGAGTAGACATCACTATCCTAACTTTACTTTGTTATGGCATGGAGATTTGTGATGCAGTACAGCAAGGTTTGTTTGTTGTCGTGCATTGGAATTTTTGGAGTCACAATGTTGGTTAAATGGAAAATCAAGTACTTTTTTTATTGCTTTATCTTTTATATCTTCCATAATAATGAAACTGTATGGCAAATAAGCCACCCTGTATACCTCACTCTACTCTAGCTCATAATTAATGTATTATAGCGGCTATTGACCTAACTGTATACTGGACGTTTCATGTGAAACATACCACAATGCACTGTCTAGCCACAACCTCAATAGGCAAATCGTCTTGTCGAACACAAGTAAGGGTATGAGTGCATTCGATAAATATAATCATGTTGAAGCATATTCAAGTCAGTCCCAAGTATTCACTGGATTAACTGTAGTTGGCGACTAAAGACTGTATACAAACACTATACAAAAAGTCCAAATATAAGGATACTGTTAAATTATCACTAAAGTACGTAACAATTTTGTTGAATAAATCCGAAGCTAACAGAAGATGCCTAAAAGAACGTTGTGATCAATTTAGGAATTCAGGAACAAATCTAGACTAAGAATGCGAAATGGCTGGTTTTACTGAATTACACTTGACATATGGAAGTAATTTGGTCTGAGTATGCCCTCTAGATTTGCAGATTCATAACAAGTAGAAGTATTGTATGTTTTGAGCATGTTTGATTAATAGAGGAACTTAACGTAGAATATGTGTGGAATATTACTATTATTTATTAACAGCTTCATTAAGTTACCTCTTCTACTTTAAATATTTTTTGCTGGCAGCAGACACTTATCCTACTTCTTCCAATGATTCTTTTAATGTGAAGAAGCCTATGTTCAAACCTATCCCAAAATTACGATCGAAAGAAATTCAAAAGGAACCTGAAACAACACACGCCATTGATCCGTATAATACTTCCTCCTGTTATACTGTAAGTAAAGAGAATCATGGGAGTGGTTTTAATCAACTACACGAGAAGAACTTATCAAATCTGACCAAACTGCATTTTTTACCTATTCCTTTCATACTGTTCATACAAAAACTACATCTCATTGTCTTTTTATTTTGGGTATTTTCTTCTAACATCTCTGCTTGCACAAAGTATCGGTGATACTTCCCATCCAACAATATCGTCATCTTATTGTGCAACATTCATAATGATTTCGCATGTAGCCATTGTACATAATCCTTTTCCCCCGCTTTCGGGCTTAGTGTGCTGTTAGGCTGTTACTTTTAGTGACAATATGGTACGTATTACTTTAGGTTCACTGTGCATGCCGTGCATGTAGTTGCAAGGTAAGCATTGGATAAGGATTTTCTTTGCCAAATTTGTAAAGTGTAATTTATCTATTCGATCTAAGTTTATGAGTTTGTAACTAGAGGAGGAATTGGCTAAAGAAGAAGTGGTCATTCACACTCAAACTACAGCTAGAACGGGACCCGGTCCAGGTAGGCCGCGCATACATCCAATCAAACCAAAACCCACCAAACTCAATAAACAACAGCAGCACCCAATGGTAAAGGTGAGCATTACAAGAACTACTAAAGTTCTTGTAGTGAACTTTCTTCTCTATGTGTATGGTATCAGCTTAGTTTTATGCAACGCCCTCTATGTTACTAATAAACATTTCATGAACATAACTAACTAATTAAGCATGACATGGTTAAAACATTTGTATTGGTCAGGTTTGAAAGGGAAAGTCTATTAGTTGCATTTAATAGATTCTCTAATGTAAGCACCTTCGCATATTATGATATCATACATATCTACTGTTTTCATAAGATATAATAGATAATATTGGATCGGAACTCAAGGATAACGTTTTGCAGAATTATGTTGCAGTTTATTCTGAGCTGGACCACCTGTGTTATTCTGAACAACTCTGTGTGTTGCGAGCTGTACAATGGATGAAAGAAATGTATAAATCACTATTGCCAACTTGAGAATATCTTAATAGGCAGTGGTACGATAGTGAAAGAAAACACAGCAACTTTGATACGGTTTGGAGTCAAAATCGAGATACTATGGACAAAGAAGTAGAAGACATTCGACTTAATCAAAGCAATTTTTTAACTACGGGGTCCTAATCTCACCAAATGTGAAGTGATAAATCAAGAAATTAGAAACAAAAAGTATTCTTGGTTTTGTTAAAATTATGCTTGTGGCTTGTGGCGCTTTATAGGCTATATCTGCTTCTAATTGGATACTTCTCTGCGTTTTTAACTTTTCTTGTACGCACCATTAAATTTAGGGGCGTCTCTTCTTTCAAAATGAAAGTCTGAAATTAGAAAAAAAGAAAACTAAAAACCAAATTCATCTTAATTTGACGCGCAGTTTTTTGAAAAATTAATGGCCAGGTGTAGGGTTAATATAATTTGGTTTCGGTTTCTTTTCCATTGGATCTGAAGAAGAGGAAAGATCAGTATGAGTCTTAAATGTTGTTTTTGTGACCAGGATGCTGAGTTTTTTTTGTATTTCTTCTTCAAAAACATAAATTCGAAAAATGATTTCTTATTTTTTTTTACAAAAAACACTAATGCTGTGTTTCTTAAGGTCATTGTTTGTCCGCTTGCTTTATGCACAAAGCTTGTAAACCAACGATTTTAAAATGTCCACTTTCCCAGCACTAATTATGTAAAGTTCAAAAACTTTGTAAAATGTTATGTTTGTGTGTGCTTCTTTAACATGTACAGTATGTGTCAGCAGTAGTGACGGGAAAACTTTATCGTTACATAGTACTACTGCTTTCAGATTTGCTTATTTTCCCAGTCGCCATTTAAGTACACAAAAAGAACTAAAAAGGATAACATGGTTGCGTAAACTAACATAACCTCTAATGAAATGGTGATCCGTAGATAGGTACCTCATTAAACTGTTGTTAAGTTGTACGACAAAAAATTAAATGTAGTTAAATCAGTGTCGAAGATTTATAAACAATGTAGTAGTGTTGAAGTGAAATAAATACAGTATAAACCTACCTGTGTTAGAAGAAAAAACCACTAATTTTTAGTGCACTTGTTTATTGACAATCGCCACACTGCGCAGTGTATATAAAAATGCCTTGCTTGACTTAGCAGCCGACACATATTCCCTAGATTTTCTGTTGGAGCTATCGTTGAAGGGCCGCCAACCTTGAGGGATGAAATTCAATGCCCATGTCATAGAACAAACTCGAAATATTTTGCCAGAAATACACTTGGATCTAATAAGTTCAATTCTTGAAACCGAAATGCCATAAAGGGTTGACTGAAACGATCACTTCGAATGTAAGCAGAACATTTGGCGAGATATCTGGAAGTACGACTGGTGATTTAGCAAACAAACATGTGGGATTCGAAAGATCGCCAGAGGATAACGTGTAGATGCTGTCATGGTGCTGGTACTTACTGATTGGTTGGTCGTGATTAATCAAACTGAATATGAGTTGAGGACAAGTGATATTTTATATTGAAGGTTTATAAAATTATGATCGAACCTTGAGGTAAGTTCGTTTGATCGTTAAATTTATTTACCTTCACTTTCCAGGTGATAAAGCGAGTTGTAATTGTTAGTTATTTAGTGAGTAAATATATTGAAAAAACAGTTGTTTTTAGTGAATCGAACTTTTAACTTGTTCACCCATCTTCATTGGAAAAGTGTAAAACGTGTATTTCGGTGACTATAATGCGTACCTATGTTGTAATGTAAATTTGAAATAGTTTGATATATCTTTTGAAAACAGTACTGCAAAAACCATTACGTGTATACTGGCCTTGTGCCGTAAGATTACTAAGGTTTGCCTATTAACTGAGTTTTGTTTCTTTTAAATGATAACAGGACGCAGTGGGGAATACCGTATGGTATTGTCCAGCATGCGGAAAGCAAGACGATGGTAGTCCCATGATCGGATGTGACGATTGTGATGCTTGGTACCATTGGTAAGTGACGTTGAAGTTTATTAATTTGTAGTGATGAATTTATATCTAGTCAAATCAGTCACTATTTTGTCACATTCCCTATATTAGTATATGGCGGATATACAAGGTCCCTGATATGTTTGAAAACAATATACAAGGTACCGAAAAAAGCTTTAATATTAACAATAAAGTTTATTTCCAAACAACACCGCCGGCTTTATGGTTCAGTGGTAGAGCGCTGGGCTATAAATCCTGAGGTCGGGTGTTCGAACCTGGGTTGAGGTGAATTTTTCATCTGTGGCAGAGATGGGAATTACCTTAGACCAGTTTCGAGCATTCTGCCGGTTACTCCGAATTAGGTTTTCCTGCAGTTTTCCTAATTCGTAAGGTAAATACCGGAGTAGTATACAACAACTTAAGACCTTCTGCAGAGGCACCTCTAAAAAGCATTATGCGGGTTACTCTGTAATTGGGCGCAAGCCTGTTGAGGGCCCAGAACAAGAGAGGGATAATAAATAAATAAATAAACACGGTAAAGAACAAAAGGAAAAAAAATTTCAAATTGTAACGTTAGGGTTGTAAATCCTAATGCTCACCCCTAGCAAATTACATAAAATAAAATTCGGTCGGGAATTATGTTAGTATGCAGGAAATACTGAATATGTCAACAATGTGCTTAATATTGTTTTACTACCATTGCAGTTTACTTCCTGTTGGTAAAGTAGTATACACATTTCTAAGATCACCGACAAAAATAATGATAAAATGAAGCTTACTGCCACTTAGGCAACCAACCATACACTATCTAAAATGGCAACGTTGAGGTGTAAGTTGTTGGTGTAGGATGGGCCGCACGGCATCGCGCATTGTCGTCTTTGCTTCGATATTTCTTCGTTGTTACCTTGAGACACACGCTACAGTAGGTAAAATTACAAAAATTGGTAAATCCTAGATTTACGAATTATATTTTGGTAAACCTAAGGGACACATTGATATCTTCAATCTTGTTTTCCTTTAAAATAAAAACTGGTTTTTAAGGTTAATTTTCTTTTTTTAAATAAATACTCTTAAGTTTAAATGATCCAGTTTTGTTGCACAGTGACAAAATAGGCTCACGTAAACGCAGTAAAAAAATAAAACTGAAAGATTTAAATAGTACTTGTGTTTTTTGATTGCGTATTCAGTAATAAAAAACACTATGTTGTGTTTTTAAAAAAAATTGGTTGTTTCCAGCCAAACCGCAAGTGAGAAAATTATTGTCCATGAATCCTTTTCTTTTTACTCTAAATTGAAAAAATAGAGTAACAACTTCAGCGAACTTTATCCATAACAAGAAACTGATGAAGTGGAAATGCATTTAAGATCACAGTACGTTTCAATGGAAGATTCATAATATCACACTGCTTATCTAATAAGTCATTAACAAGATATTTATTGATGTTTCCAGGTTAGATTGTTAGGGGGCCGTTCAAAAATACTAGCAACAATATCAAGAGAAAACTTAAGTTGAAGATACCAATGTGTAATGTATTAAAGTCTCTTAAATTTGTCCAGAATATAATTAGGCCAGTCATTGGGGATTTTTGCCTGGAAATAAGTCCAGAAGTTTTGAAACTTTGTAGGTTTATAGGTTTTGGGATCTAGAACTAAAATTCACAATCCGAGACATGCCGCCATCTTGCCAAGATGGCGCTCAAAAACGGTTTTTTGCAAATATCTCCAAAACTATGCGTTTTTCGGAAAAGTATGTAGAGCGTAAAATTGAAGAGGCTGGAAGTTTCCTACGCAATATGTTCCTAGTAGTTTTATTCAATTAATCGATTAATTCATTAATTAATTCATGTTAATAATTTATGATCAGTTAATATCGATTTAAAATGATATACTTGTTTCCACACCACCCAAGAGGTAAAGTACACGGCGCGTTTTTTTTAACGAGGTTTCCCCTGTAGGCCCAATCCACTTAGGTACTAAAATTATCAGACGGACCTTGTCCGTTGAGTTCCATATCTTAAATTAAATAGGTTATTTTCCCGTCTTTTCTCTTCAAACTTAATCGTCTAAAAGTATTCAAACCCCGTTCTTTCACCTTCACAGTTTTACTCTCCGAAAGACTTTCGTCACAAACAAAACACTTTTCAATCGAAACCATAATAAAAGAAATAACGCAATCAATTTATTACACTTGCACTTGCACTATTGTCAAGTAAAATCAACACGTAAACGCTAAATACGTTGCGAAACGTAACACTTTTTCGAATCTATTTCCAAACACGCTTATTACCGAATCAGTACAACTGTTAAGCGAGACGACAAACGATCTGCTTCGAGGCGCCTTGTAGCGAGATGACGGGTAAATAGCCAGCGCCTTCTGGTGGCGCTTTATTGCAGGTGTGCACATCGGCATCTTCACTTATGCTAGGAATGTGCCGCTTAGTCAGTAAATTATAAATATAACGAGAAACCAATTGAATAGCCCGTTTTTTTAATAAAACCGTTTTTGGGCGCCATCTTGGCAAGATGGCGGCGTGGCGGCATGTCTCGGATTGTGAATTTTAGTTCTGGACATACAAATCTGCAGTTTCAAAACTTCCGGACTTATTTCCAGGTCAGCCCTATTTTTGATCCCCAATGACTGGCCTAAATGCATAAAATTCGGTTTTTCCAATTCTTGTAATTAGGTACCTGCTCTAGTGTGTATATCAAGATTCCAGGCAGTGACGAAGAAACGCCGAAACAAAGACGACAATGCGCGACGCCGTGCGGCTCCTCCCACACGATTCCCCGCGAGTATTGTATAAATACTACTTTAAACGATGCCGCGAGAAAATTTACGTCCTCCATAAAGACAAATCCAAAATAGGTCAAATTTACCTTTCAATGTTGCCATTGTAGATAGTGTATGGTTGGTTGTCTAAGTGGCAGTAAGCTTCACTTTATCAGTATTTTTGTCGATGATCGTATATTTCCTTTTTATTCTTGGCGATTCTGTTTTAAATGAAAATCTTGGGCCACCAATAGAAAACTGATGTTTGAATTTAATTGCAAGGTGTATTGATTTGTTCGAAATTTAAGTGCCATATATTTACAGGGTTTGTGTTGGAATACAAATTCCTCCAGACGAAAACGAGAATTGGTATTGCCGCATATGTCTTAGTAAAAAAGAAGAAGTCCTACAAATGGACAAAAAGAAAAAACGGAAAAAACGTGAGAAGAAGGAGCATTAAGTATTGCCAATTTAAAAACGAGGTGTATAATATTGTGAATCTATTCGATTTTGATTTTAATCTTATCATGTTTGCCGCAATTCTTATTATGCGTGTAATTTTAAAGATGTATACATTTCGGGATTTTACTTACTGTTTACTTCTTTAAACAGTTCAATTGTATCTAATAATTTTATTTCAATCAATTACAATGATTATAATGCCTTGTGTATTTGAGTATATTGGCGATCTTCCATTAATTTGTTATCCTTAAGCCTATGAGAATATTCTGTACAAAACCATGGTAAGATCACTCTACACAAAAAGTGACAGTAAGTCTGTCATGCCCTTCAAAGGCAAGGTAAGTACTTACAAATTCTTAAGTAAGGACGCTTAATAGAGAAATTAACATTTCAGAGATGACATACAAAAATTGTATTAGCATATAATATCTTGATCAATGTAAATGACGCGGAAAATCAAAAATAATGTTTCTTGAATAATAATACCTTATGAATTTTGTTTAAAAATAAGACTAATAATTAAAGTTCATATTTGAATTCCCACATAGTAATTGAAATTGTGATGCATACACCAAAGATGAATCAAAGTGATGGATCAATGTCGTCTTTCCTTTCTATTGTAATGATGATAATATTCTTTATGGTGAGAATGCATTTACATACATATTTAGACATAGACCTTTCTTTGAATTAACTTACTACGTCAACGATAGAGAAAATATATTTTTTGATGCTCAACTAGAAAAATTATAAAGAGAGTTTGCTACACAAATCTGGAATTGCAACATAAAGTATAATAGTGTTGGCAACACTGGAAACAGGATCAGGCCGTTTGGGAGACAATTCTTGACGTGTATCTGACATCATCCTGCTTCAAATCTCAACTGAACAAAACAATCAAATTCAAAGAATTTTTGTTAGTGACTACCCAGCTACATGTGCAACTGCGAAATTACACCTGATGACCGAGATCAAAATTTCATTTTCTGATGCAAGAGGTCTATATTTTAAATACCAAAAAAACAATTTCAGGGATTGCAGTCTATAGGGATTTTTTAATCCTCTCCCGGGTACCCATCCCCACAATTCTTTTTCTTAACGTCGATCCGTTATACCTTTTTCAGGAAGTGGGTTCTGTCGTCTCTCATTCCCTTCAGGATAGGAACAGCCCAATTAACCCACTGCCGTTGCCAACCTTTCCATCTTAGTGTTACTGTTCGCAGCCTTCCATCTCCCTCTTGTCGCGATTACCCTCACCAAAAATCCTGATAACTTCTTCCAGTTCATGTTACACTCAACCTTCCGGTGCCATCCTCCTTCCCGTCTTGCACTCAGTCTTACCAACCTTATTCATTCGAACACTGCGTGCTCCTAGTGGTCTTCACCGCAATCTCCACATCCATCGCATTGTGTTTCTTGTGTAAGTAAAGCCTCATTTTTCCCATGACCTGTTAAGAACTGGGTCAAATGATACTCCACCTCGCCCCTATTCCTATTGGTCCATCGTGCGCGATCTGGAATTAATTTCTTAGGTCTAGATACCCTGCGATTTCCCCTGGCCTGGTACTTCAGTCTCAGTTTCGCAGTATCCCATCTCTCGGTCGTGGCTCTAATGATGCGCTGTCCTGGAGGAACATCTGCGATCACCACTAGGTCTTCCAGCTGGACCGCTCCATAAGCACAAGTTACTTTAATTGCCAGAAGCCTCAAGTCTGCTGTTCCCCACTTCATTGCCGTGCTTCAAATTTACACACCGCACAGCACCTACCTTTCATCGCTTTCTTCGCCAATTTATCGGCGAAACCTAATAGCCAAATCGGCTATTGGCGATTAGAACCAGTAGGTTTTTGTTTCACGTCGGCGAGTACTCTCCATCCTTTCTTCTTAAGAAGCCCCCTTGGTCTTCATGGTCGACACCCCCTGCCCCTTTCCCGCAAAAGATTTGCAATTGCTCCCTCAAAAGCGGTGTTGTTCCCACCCCACTGCGGGCGCTTCTTCTCGTTCTTTGTCACAATTTTGTGGCCTTTTTCAGGGACCCATATGGAATAGAGGTTCCAGTTCCGCACTACTTTAGCTAAAATTATTTTTTAATGGTTCCGGTTCTGTGGCTTCTCGGTTCCGGTTCTAGTTTTTTTTAGGTTTAATTGAAACTTCTTTTTAGCTTTGGCGTTCGTTTCGCGTCTGGATCAACTGTCCAGTTTTTAGCGCATTTTTACAAATTTATTTGTAAAAAGGTAGCTTTTAATTTCACTTTGGCCAGTTGTGGCTGGCTGGCTGGCAGCAATGCGGGTCCTTAAAAGAACGCTTGTAGAAAGACGAGGAGTATACATGTATGTACATACTGGGGACGTGTAATTAACAACGGAGCTACATGGTGTGGTTTCGGCGACATCTGGGCGCCATCCCCAAGCGTGCCATTCTTCAATGTATTCTTACCTTCTACATTTTTGGTCCGATTGTTTTCAAATTGGTGGCGTCGGAAAGATCTTATAAACGCACATAAATCCTACGTGACGGAATTTTGTTTTTTTTCCTAGGGGTGAAATTAACCGCCTTTATTGCAAGGCGCGCGTCTTCGAGGGGTTGTCGACTTTGAGCGCTCAAAAGCTTCTTAGATCTCGAATCACGGTCTTGATTCCTTAGACATCTCGTTTTTTCGAACTTCTCATCTTATTCTCTCTCATCGCAACCTCTTTAGTGGATACCTTTCGGACGATAGTAAAAAAAGTTCTTTTCTACGACCCGTATACCTGCATCAAACTTCTCTCACGCCTTTGTAAACCCCTGCACTTATTATTTTTATGTTGCATACGTGTGTTTATTGTGCTTGTTCCAAGCCTTTTCAGCCACCCCCTGCCATAGTCTCCTTCGCGGATAATTCGCAGCTCCTGTGCGCATTTTCTTAACACTCCCCTACCATCAGCCAACTGTTTTACATTTCCATCACACCTTGAACGATTCTTTTTGTTCCTTCAACCATTTCTCACACTTCCTGTGCATCTTCTTCACCGCTTCATGTTTCTCTTCCTCACGCCTCCTTCATTTTTTGTTTCATGCCTTCTTTAGGTTTCCTATATTCTCCTACATGCCGGGTTCGAGCATTTTTCACACTTTTCTCAACCGTTCATCATTCCCCTCCCTTTACTTCTTCCTCTCCTCATTTTAATTCAATTAGCATTTGTTTGGTATTTTATTAAAATGTGTATTTCTTTGTGTTTGTTTAGGGACGTCTAGAATTAACATGTAGTATGCGCACGCGTAGCTTTCCTGGTTAGAGAGAAATTGCATTGTAAATTATTGCCCTCTGATGGCGATGTGCACTAACTAAAATGTAAGCGGATATTTTGTAGGCAGAGCTACATTCATTAAATTCAATGCTACATTGTAAACAAAACACATTGTAGCATTTCAATGTCGTACTATTTTGCAATAAGTCTCCCTCTTTTAGAAAGTATTCCATGGGCAGTAGCTACGAGTCGTCGTGTTCCTAACTAAAGAGAAATTAGAGTAAGCGATCTGCAATCAAAAAATTGCACAGGGTATTGCAATAACTAGTGCGCGTGCATGTACCGCGATTGCAAATCGACTTATAGAAATTAGAATGCACTCTGTTCATGGCAAATCGACCAATCGAAAAACCTCCAGCTGATCTCGACCAACTCGAGTCGAAGTGCTTGAATGCGCTCATAGCTATTTTAATTAATGTAAATAAAGCCGAATTAAGATGAAATTTTTGAAAATTTTAAGTGAAACATATAAATTTAAAACGCGGCAATCTGCATAAGTGTAAATGTTTTCGTGACGGTGCAATGAAGATTTTCGATTACAATTAACCTAAAAAAAACAAATTCACATGACGTAATTGGAATGGAAAATTAAAGCAAATTTGATGGAAGTTCTACATAATTGTAAAAATATCTCTCATTTCCAAGAGTATACGTAAATATTCGAAGGCCTACAGTTTTGTGAATAATCGAGGTTAATAAAAGTCTCGGCGGAAGTTCCATCAAACATTGCTTTTCCACGAAAGAAGACTGAGAAAACGAGAATATCATCTTCAGTAGAAAACGTGAGTATTAATTGTTTAATTTGATTTTCATGGGGGCCGACCGGCGTTCCCCAGTGTACAAGAGGCGGGAAGCCGATTTGAATTATCAGTTCTGTCTGTGTTGGGCAATTTGTGACATACACTTCGTTTTTCGTACGCGCTTTTTTATGATGTAACATTGAAATCTTGAAGTAAGGAACCAAGTAGGTCAATATCAGCGATATCACTTTCATTTTGTTAGGTATGTGATCGAACACCGTAGTGGCAGGTAGCCAGTAGTGTATTTTTTCAGTTCAGAAAGTGATAGTTTTCTTACAAAACCCGTATTTACCTCCGTTTTTTGAGAAATTTTTGGGAACGTTCTAACAGTAAGTACTAAGCTTTGTTTGATATCGTTCACCGGCGGCGAGGAGCGATTTTTGTACAAAATAAAAATTTGGGCACAAGTGCGTCGCGCAAATTATTCAAATTTACAAGGGAGAAAGTTCTGTGAAAGTGGATGGATCGTTACAAAATCTATACTGATAGCGAAAATAAATGAAATAATCATTATGAAAGAAAATCCGCGCGAATTGGAAGGTGTTAATTGTGCCGACAAAAAAACCTTTAGGTACGCCTCCAGATCTGTTCCTAAGGCCAGGCAAAATTGTGGATTTTTTCATATATACAAGGTCAGGCAACTCTTTCGTATTTTTTCGCAATAAAGTGAAAGTAATTTATAATGTGCAATTGTTTCTCGCGGATCTTACGGTTTTGTAAGCAAAAATGCGCTTGGCCATGTCAAAACAAAACCCTTGAACTTGATCTAACCAGCGCATGCCGAAAGATATATCTCTTATTCTGAGATATGATCGTTTTGATTACGGTTTAGATTAGGTCAAACGGGAATCATTGCGTCAAGTGCTTATCGGAGATTCTAGTCTCATCCTCACGGCGGAATTCGGAGAAAAGTTTTATTTGTGTTGGTTTGACCAATTTACTTCCCGGATTTGGATGCTATATTTAGAACCAATAGGATTCGCCTTTGGAACGTTAAACAAAGTTTTTCGGAACGGAACAATTAGCAGAATGAAGATCAAGGTGAAGTACACCAAAACCAAACTCTCCATGTACTTCTTTTGCCAGGTTTTTGAAACTCTGTTTTTTAGGTGCAACGGCGATATCTTACTATCTATTGTAGCGCTTTGACCACAACTCCTAACATTTTTAGGACCGGAGGCACTTGGTATTATTTTCTTAATGTCAAAATTGCGTGAAAACTTCCCCACATATAGGAAGTTCGGCTCTGCTCGTGCGTGCTTTCTGGTTTTTTATTCCTCCTATATGTGTTTTCATTAAGAAGAGCATATTGCTTTTTGTCACGCTTTGAAAAGTGTACGCATGCGCCCATAGCCTAGCCTATGCTGCGCGCACTTGACATTTGACCATGCGCTGTCTGCCTGTTTTCATTGGATGAGCTTACTGTTACTCCACAAATCAGAATTACCGGTTCTATACGTGTTCGTATGATCTCTATGAACTGATGGCATTTCAGCATACGTGCCCTGTTTAAGGGAGTGTTTACTGTCAAAATTCAAGATAATCAAGTAAGAAAGTCGGTTATACGCATGCGCTCACTCGATTTTTGGCAATGCGCTGTAGCAGGCACGTATTTCCAGTGCGAATATCTGGAGAACTTGATGCCTGAAGATGTTATGCGACCATTCGGATCACTCACCTCTGCACTGCGTTGAAAATCTGTGATCTGGGCGTTAAATTTTATTTTTGCACTTGCTGTTATTTTTAAGTGGGCGGGGCTTACAAAAATTTTTCACCGAATCCGAATGTGACCCAGCAAAAATTATATTACTGCTTTATAATTAAAAAAAAATATAAAATCTAATCGCGTTTATTCGGCCGTGCCATTGGGCGACAATTGTAACGGGTAGCCTCTGGCTCGCTCGGCATTCGTAGACGCAGACTTAGATAACAAAATTTGTCACTGTTTTCAATTTTTATACCAATGCCCAGTGAGCCGAAGGCGAGTTCGGCATAAATCGTGTTTTATACGTACATTGGAAATGCACATTCTGATATTTTCTTTCAAAAACTGGAAAAGGGTGGGCCGAATTTATGCCGAACTCGCCTTCGCCTCGATCCAAATTTCGCCCAAAAAAAGTCTACAGCAATAATAATGAGTTGATCCAAATGATTGATACAAGATCATAAGTCTAGTATAATGAATGACTCTTTTGATTGGAAGTTCAAATACGGTCACTCATTAAATTACGCGACCCGGCCGTAAATAACAATGTCATTATGCGGGTCACTCTGTAATTGGGCGCATGCCTGTTGAGGGCCCAAAACAAGAGAGGGATAATAAAATAAAAATAAAAATAAAATATTAAAGAAAAATATTATTTGTGCACAATCGATCGGCCCGTTAGCCGTATTTGCAACGAACATCTGGTCTCGCAAATTGACTTTGTTTAAGGTCACGCCGGCCGTTTTAATTTTTGTGGGTTAAAACGTCCACTATTGTTCGTATATAACGTAATAGCTTCTGAGCCGTAAATAAGGGTCGCCAAAAATGTTCATCCGCAATTTCACGCGTTTGTACTTCCAATATTGTTGAGATTTGGGGAAATAGTTTCTAAGTCATAAATTATAGTTCGTGGTCATTGAGAATTTTAAAATCGCGTTTAAAACTTTACTCGCTTGTCCGTTTTGGTAACAATATTTTCTTCGCGAATTATCCCTTAACTTGCCAAACGAATTTGTTACACCATTGCGCACGTGCAAATTAAAACCATGTGTCAAAAATAGATTGCGCAGTTGCAATACATACATTTCTGTTATTTTTCTGAAATTTTAACGGAGGACACGTAAAAAATAAATTGAAAATTTCATATTTATGGACGGATTTTCCCGTAAAAATAAATTAAACGCACATCAAACAATGGACTGTGCATCCGCGGACTGCACATGCGCAGATTCACATTGTTTATTGGCGGCTGGGGATATCTCCCAGAAAAGAAAAAGTTTATGCCACTCCGTACAAAATAATTATCATTATCCTGGGGCATAGGGTTGCATCCCCCCCCCCCTCCAGGATACAGAAGGAATCAATTACTTTTTCACAAAAACTACCCTGACAGTTGTCATCAAATCTCCTCTTCTGAAATTTCAGCTGATGATAAATTAAACGCACATAAATAAATCGATTGCGCATCGGCAGACTAAAAGACGCAAGAGAACGCACGCGCAGACTTACATTTCGTATTTGTGACTCATTTTCGTTTGACATTTCAGCGGACGGTGCTGCCTATAAAGGCAAATTGAAATCACGTGTCAAAAGTGCATTGCACCCTCGATTGCATCACTTTTTTTTTGAAATTTTAACTTAAGATGCGTTTTATAACCGTGAATTGAAGACAAATAAAACAGGTATAAATTGTTAAATTGTGCACAACTCTTGTGCAGATAAAGCGCATTTTTTAAAACGAAATAACTTTTGTTTTGACATCACCAATGGATATATTTCTAGCAGACGTCTCAATCGCCCTTTGTGAGTACCGTCTTCTGACAATCCGTTCTTGAGGAGGGCTATGATTGGTTGAAATCGAGGTTGAAATTGAGACCTTTCATTAGAGTACCATGAAGGATAAAATTAGTTCCCCCCCCCCCTCCCCTTCCACCCCGTACTTTGTTAAGAGGACAGAAAGAAGGGCAGCAGTTGGTAGAAAACGGTTCCACTAAGACACTAAAGGCATGCGTATGCAAAATCCGAAGCAAAATCTGAGACTAGTTGTCGTATGTAAAAGTTATGCACGTTTTGCTTTCAAAAACACCATCTCAGGAAATAATTCGTAGCGGGAGGGGGGGAGGGGGCTTTTAGACAACGAAATTCGATGGCCGTCTGGCACAAGGTATAGCTACCTACTGCAAAATTCCAGGACTCTAGGACCACTCCCCTACAAGTAGTTCAAAACGGTAGAAGTGGATCCGACCGGCCGGACAGACAACGCAAAAAATCCGCTAAAAATATATTGGTACGCGCAGAGGTACCTTCCTTAGTTTATGTGTAAGTATATTGTCTTACCATGCGCGTTTTTATTAGTAATTATCGACGTAATTACCGTCTTCCTACAACTAGGACTATCATCACTGTACGGTGACTGGGATGGGTACGTACAAAGCGAAAATTGAACGTCTGGACGACACGCATTTCGAGTGCTCACTATCTGCTCTACTGCACTGCGTTGAAAAAACTGTTTCTGCCCGTTATTTTTAAGTGGACGTGGCTTGTAAATATTTATCGCCAACATCTTTTTGGGATTTTTCTGAATTTGTAGCATTTTATTGGCTGGTGCATTTGCTTTGACTCAACCTACACCAACATGTGATTCATTCTTTAAAAAACATGACGCTCCTCGTGATTATTGAGATGGAACTTTTCCATGCACTTCGGTCCATAATTTAGATAAAAAATTGTTGCATAAAAAGAAAATGATTTTAAGTGCTTAATTTATGGAACCATTAATATTTATGGTGTAATAATATAATTGTGGTGCACTTACAGAAGACAGGTCCAGATTAAAAGTGAAAAATTGCCTTGGCCGTGAAGAATGGACTAAAGCCAAATTATTTGCAAGATCCAGATCATCTTGAGAATTGTCCCATTTTCAAAAAGGTCAAGATGATCTCTCGCTCCCTTTTCATCCATAGATATCCCCACCAGCGTCGCAAATGCTCACAGTTAAAATAGTTAGGATCGGTTTTCTGTTGTCAGTGCTCCAGCGTGTAGTACCAAAAAAGCTTTACCACATTTGGTAAGAATTTTTGTGTTTTTTTTTTATTCTGGGCGGGGCTTTTGGAGTCTGGTGTGGAAAAACGGCGAATTCTCTTTTTTTTATTTGGTAAAGCAGTTTTCTACCAACAGCAGTGTTACCAAATGGTGGTTTCAGCAGTATGAAACGTTTTTTTTATTTCCTCACTTTGTTATCGTGTCTGTTTTTAGGCAAAGATTTATTTCATTTGCA